ACACAGCGCCACCTAGTTCCATGATAAGCTATGAGGCTTGTGTTATGGATACCAGATAGTTGATACACTACACATATATAACTTTAAATACATACATATTATAAATATAAACACCCATGACTGGAGTACCAACATTCGTCATTACACAAATGAATGCTCCCAGCGGGACTCGAACCCGCGACCGCTGGCACAGCAAGTAGGGTTACTACAAACTGAGCCAAACGTGTCGTCAATTAAAAGCCTACGTATTAAATACATACCTAATCAAATATTTTCAAAATCGGTGCCAGCCCATACAAAGCAAAGCACAGCGACTTCGAAAATATTTTATTAGGTATGTATAGTAAATGAAAACTACCAATCAGTTATTTTTTACTTTTTAGTGCTTTGTTTGAAGTCGGTTTTTATTTTTTTGTTAAAAAGTTTTTATGTTTCCTTGTTTAAAAAATACATTTACTACAGTATTTTAAATGTTATGACAATGTAGAGTGGGAAAGCAATTTAAATTCTAAGAACAAAATGGTTCCGGAGTCGAGTCCAAGCTGATTACGAAAGTATTCACTTCGTTTGGCAGAATACTGAACTAATTTAACATTGTATACAAAGTTTGAAGGTAACGGGAAATGGACTATTGGCTTTTATGTTTATTATAAAACTAGCTTTTGGCTGAGGCTTCACGTGCTGGCGTATTCCATTTCTTTTTTTTCTGATCTATGCTGATGATTTAAAGGTCTCAAGAGTTGATCTATGTCGGGAATGCATAAAATACGAGCGACTCACCCTAGTTTCGTTTGGGTTCGTCCCTAGGTAAGTTTTGACTCTTAGTATGGAATACTCGTAATATACTAAACATAGGTATGATGAGTTTTATATCTGTTACTTCAGAAATTATTAATAATTTCCGGGATAAAAACTGTCCTATGTCCTTTATAGGGTGTCAAACTATTTCCATACTAAATTTCATCTAAATCGGTTTATTACATTAAGAGTAAAAAGACATACATACAGACAGACAGACAGACAGAGTTACTTTCGCTTTCTTAATATGTATTAGTATGAATGGATACAAAGAAGACAATAATTTAATCCATATCATATATCAAATATGTATATTCGTTCCTAGGTAAATGGGCTTTCAAATCCAAATCCATCTTATATAAATAAATAAATCTTTCATTTATACAATTTTTATAGAAACAGTTTAAAAGCGAATTATAGATATTTTTATCCTAGCAAAACATGTACATATCATGATTCTATGCGATATATATGTACATATGAATATTATATAGTATATAATAATAACCTGGTAAACAAATAAATATATATGTAAATTAGATGCAATATGTATAGGTATAATTTTATATCAATACAAAACACTATTGGCTCCACTATAAATTCAATCTGATTCAATTATATTATATACACACAAATGTGCCCTCTACTCGGAAAGGTTTTAATTTACAATATAATATACATAATTACTTAGTTGATAGATAAATTAAATATAAGTGGCTCAAGTTAAAGGTGCTAATTCGCGAACATTACGAATGCCAACAAGGTTCGTATGCGCCTACGCACGACATGCATGTGACAGCTCGCACCGCTTAGAAGTAGGGTACATATAAAATAACTTATTTTTTAGATAGGTTTAGTTTAAATATCAAGCATTTTTTACGAAACTAGCGGATCTGCTAGACGTTGTCCTGCCCGAATGTAGGCTTGGGTCCGCTAGTGATAAAAATAAAATAATCCTAGGACCCGACAGCAGCATCACCCATCGAACTTCTTAAACACACACAAAAATTTCACCAAAATGGGTCCATCCGTTTAGGAGCTTAGTGATGTACATACGTACAGAAGAATTAATTACATATATAAAGAAAGAATAGTAAAACAGTGGATATTAGTATATTAGTCACCCTCGTCCTTTGGCCGCTGTTGAAATTTTAATTAATATTTGTTCAAATTCTTTGCAGATAACAAGGTATAGACCAAGCGAAAGCAGACAGAATTTTTTTATGGTATCATGCAAATAACCTTAATACAATGACTGGGACCTTATGAGTTCTACATGAGATCGGTGCCCGTAAATAGGTTTTATTTATAAATGTAATGAATTCACGAACATAACTTACCACCATTTGTTGGTAGATATATTATTTTTATTAAAAAAAAGACAATGTCTTGGATTTTCATTAAACATTTTAATGAAATTGTGCACTCAGTAGGTAATATTACCGTAATACAAATATATTATACAATACAATTTAATCTAAGGTCAAGTTGTTATTAACTAACCTTCATAAGTAAATTTTAAGACAAAGCTATCCTCAAATGCATACCAAGATGGAGTTAACACGAGCCATAACTCTACGCCCGCGCTTTAATTACTTAAACGTCCATTCAGACTTCAGTTGGCACGCGAATAAATAACAATCCTTCGACCTTTGCCGCGATATATGTCGTGCATATGTCTTATATATGCTATTCAAATGGCATAATTGTTATAATTTAAGGAACAAAATTTTTGATTTTTGTAGTTATACTTCTTTTGGCACGTTTGGAAAAAAATATGAGAGTAAAATTTTTATAATGCGCGAGCACATCGACAGCCAAAAAGCGACATGATGAAGTTAGCTGAAAGCAACATGACGAAGTTAGCTGCATTCCTTTTACAATGAAATCTTTAGCTATTTTTGTTCTCTTACGCTAAAGAAGTATAACTTCTTACGTGCGTACATAAGTACACACACGGGTTTTTTTCTCATGAATTTCTTTTAAAACACTTCAAAAGCATACGATGAAATTGATGTACTTATCTAATCATCATAATCAGCCTGCTGCTGGACATAGGCCTCTCCTACGGCACACCACTGAGCTCGATCTTCAGCTCTATACATCCAAACGCTGCCAGCCACTTTACGTATAGCGTCGCTCATTAGAATTTATCATTATACCTATATAATATTTTATTTACTAAATTATGCCCCAAAGAAAAAAATAAGAAATAATGTAAAAGTAATTTTTATGAGATGATTTTTCAATTAATTTATTTTTTCTATATAAAATTATAGCGTCGCGATCATTTTTATATGCGATATTTTTATTTCAAGTTATATATTTAATTTAATTTTTAACAGTTACTTAAATAGTATAATAAAGTTAGATTATCTTTTCGGATTTTTTCGCGGATTTATTTTGATTTGTGGTTCCCGACGTTGTATTTAATTATAATACTTAAAATGCTTAGAATTAAAATCAATAAAATATTGTAAGGTACTTTGGTGCCATTTTTGATTTTTTTAAATCCTTTTGTAAATTTGTGGGTACCTTTGAGACGTCTAAAACCTCAGTCTCTCCCGTGGCCATGATTTTTGTAAAGCATTTGAAACATCGGGAACCAAAAATCAAAATAAATCCGCGAAATAATCCGAAAAGATAGTTTTATTTAACATGTGAAATATTCGCGTAAATGTAAGAAAGTATTAAAATTAAGTTTATTGCTTAATGTTATATAATTTGCAAACTAATAACATGATTATTTTTATTTATATACATCTTTCAAAGCTTTAAGTATTTCAAAATAAATATTATGTATTTTAAAGATTTTCTTCATACTTACTTTTTATCCTCGATTTAATATTAGTAAGATTTCTTACTTCTGATAAAAGTACTATTTAGATATTTATAATGAGCAATGCTATTTTTAATTATTGGCTGTTGGCTCTCGGTCTATAGAGAAGGGAACAAAAGCTAAAAATATCTAATAGATACCTACTATATCAGTTTAAGGAGTTAGTGATAGCTTAAACTTTATAATGTTAAAAAAATGTATTTATGTGTAATTTTTCACTATTATTTTTCCTTTAGTAATATATTTTATAAAATTAACTAATAAAAGCGCAATTTTAAGATAATATAAAATAAATAATATTAAATAACAATTAAAAAGTATCATCCAGGCTTCAGAGATCAGTAGACATTAGTAGTAACAGACAGAACTATACGCGGTAGCTTTCTTTAAAATTTGACAATTTAATTAAAAGTAATAGCACTCAAAACTACGCTGCCAACTAGAATAATTAAAATGTTACGTATTGTTTCAACAAACGCTCGTTATTTTCTTGATGAATGCAAATGTATTCAAATTCCTGTTCCTCTGAATAATATACTTAGGGACTACTTTGACGTACAAAGAGTTTTGCAACTAAGTGTTTTAGGTATAAAATTTTTGGCAGCTGTCAGCGTGGTGAAGTGGCCCCGGGTTGCCTAATTACAATGTTACTACGAAGGTTGTGGATTCTATTCTCAGGATCGTCTTGATGGTATCCGGTTCATCTCGAAACCACCAACGTATGACATACCTAATTGTTTTAAATAAAACTATTTTTTCAAATTTTTGACGCATTTATTTCGTTTCAAATGCTTTACATCAATCATGATCACAGAAGAGACTGAAAATATAGTTTTATTAAAAACTCAAATTTAAAAATATTTAACATATTTTTATATTATTATTTTCATTTTGTTAATTTTATTAAAAATATGTATATTATTACACTTATATTGCCAATATTTAAACAAAATATTATATTAGGGATAAAATATTAGTATTAAAAATACAATATTATTATGTTTGTATAAAATGACCTTGATAAAACAAAGTGCGAGCGAGCGCGACCGGGCGTGCGACGCGACGTTGCCACGCCGTCGCTTTGTTGCGTGAACTAGAATCCAGTCCGCGCCGCCATCTTGGCCACGCCGCCACGAAACGTGATCGCTCGATACTTGTGTTGAGTAAAACAGTATTTTATAAAACAAGATTTAAACGTTTATACAGTATTAGTATAAGAATTTACTTAGTTTTTGATTTATAAACAAAATAATAGATTACTTTCTTTATTTTGTTATTATTACGTCGACGTGATTATTTTTAATCGAAAAACGTTACTAATTGTTTTTATTTTACGATTTTGTGTATTAATTTACCTTAAAACATGGATACTTTTGATACAGAAAAGTTCATACAGGAAATAGAAAGTCATCCGCTAATTTGGGATAGTAGTTCAGACGAATACTCGAATAAAGAACTGAAGAAACAAAGCTGGGATGACATTGTCGATACTTTTGGTGGTAAATGTTTGTCGGCGACCGAGAGAAGGGATGTCGGTAAGTTATCAACAGATTACACAAAAAAATTGTTTTTTTTTTTAATATATATTTCTTTTTTAATATATAGGTATTTCGTTTTTAATATAAATATAAAAAAAAAACATAATAATTGAATAAATGTATGTATTATTAACCCCTAACTACCGCTGTGAGTAAAATAACATATGGTCGTGGGGCCAGTAGACAAGTGTTTTTTTTAAAAAAGCAATAAAATGATCTAATATAACTATGATATTATGTATAACTATGATATACATAAAGTTTGTATTTATGTAATAATTATTAAAAATACAGTTAAGAAACGCAAAAATTATTAACTTTACTTTGAAAATCGGACAAGCGCGAGTCTGACTCGCACACCGAGGGTTTCGTATCATGAAATATTAAATTTATTTTGTTTTCACATTTTAAATTGTTACGTTAAAAGTTAAGTAAAATTTTATTTAATTGCAGAAATAAGTTTGCATTTCGTAGTATTTCTAGGAGGAACCAAGTGAATTTTACTTTTAAAACTAAAACTACTTTTAAAAAAAACTTTTTTTTGGATCTTTTGATCCCATACTTCATAAGTTAGATGGAGGCGGGGCGATAGATTGTTTACGAATTTAGAAGTATATACATATAACTCTGCAATTATGAATAAAAAATTAATTTAGAAACATCTACGTAAATGAATTTTAAATACTTAACAGGTATTTCCAAGCACATAAAATTTTTTTTCACCCTTCAGTTATATGTATCCATATTTTTTTCAATTTTTAACCGAGTTCTAAAAAGGAAGAGATTCTATGATCGTTTGTGTGTATTTTTACTACGGATTTTTTTTGTGATTTAAATTAGACACTTGCTTATCAAATCAGAGTAATGTAGCTCCAATTTTTGAATAAAATAGCTGTACAACACGGACATATGAACCGATGTTTGGCTACGGAACCCTAAAAGTGTGAAAATATATTTTTTCTGACGTTGCGACGATATTTAACTTTTCCTTAATATATTAATTATTTTTTAAACTGTCATCACTGCAATTAATATTTATGCCCCACAGATATGAATTAGGTACATGTTGGGTGTTATGTAAATAAGTATTCAATTGCCTCTAATATGTCGAACTTTTTCATATGTCAACTTTACATTATAGGAAATGAAATGAAAGACAAAAGAAAAAATAACTAACAGTAGGTATCTAAGCAATCATGTAGCCATACTGCTTTTCAGTAGACCTAAGCTTTAAAAGCTACTTTGAACGTAGTTTTTTTAAATACGAGTTTAAAAAATTAACATTAAAATTCCTTTTTTATGAACAATTGTATAAAAGTGGTTCATAACACTTACAACTATGGTTAAGGGTTAAATAATGATTAAACGATTATATTACCTACACTCATTTAAAGTACTTATAAAATATCATATCAATAATACGAGTACTGTGTATATATATTTTTTGTAAAACATTCGACTCTTGCGAGTTTATTTCACTATTGACTTCACTCTATTTTATTATACTTTTATTACTTTATGCTCAATAACAATAAATAAATATAAAAAGTACGGTAATCATAACGTTAGAAGATAATATTATGTTGAATTCTATATAATAGTTATAATTTATGATCACGACTTAAATCTAAGATATTTTAGCAACTATTTTATTTTACAGAACTTACGTTGCAGAAGAAATGGAAATGTATTAGAAACTGTTTCACAAGAGAGTTGAGAAGACAAGAGAGGTTAAACGCAGGCGTCGATCCAGGACCTAGAAAATCTGAGTATACATACTTCCAACATTTACAGTTTCTACGTAAAGTTGTTTCTTTGAGAGAGTCAGAGGTCCCAGATTATATTTACTATGACCCTCCAGAAGTAAACATAGTTAAAAATGAAAATTCTGATAACATTGTTGAAGATGATGACCCCTTAAGATTAAATTTTGCACACAAAAGACCAAAGTATGATAATTCAGCAGAAGATGAGGATAAAATGTTTTTACTATCCATGTTAAGTACGTTAAGAACGATTCCCATAAAGAAAAAACTCTCAACAAAAATAAAGTTGTTGCAAGTGTTAGACGAAGCGACTAAAGATTTAGATGAATAAATAGAAAACGATACCTGTGCACGTAACAAGTTCAGCCAATGGAGCTCATCAAAGCAGTAATTACCTGTAATAAAGAAGCTTGTATTAAAGCTAATATTAGTATTATTTTACTTACCTAATTCTTATATAAAAAATTAATACAAATACAATATACAACATTTTTTCTTAAATATACTATTTTTCTGCATAATCATAAAAATAATATCTACTTGGTTTCACAATAACATTATAAAAAATGCGAAACTTTGTCAGTGACTTGATAACTTCTTCATAAATGTTTAATTTACATAGCGAATTGTAATGGTCGTCGAAATGGAGATGGATTGACTGATCCTAGATAATATCCTAATCCTAGATTAAGACATACATATTTTATCGACGCAAGCGGATCCGCGGGCAAATATTAGTATGTAAGTGTATATAGTTTTTGTTGATTAATCAGTCTTCACGAAGCAATAGAATAAGAAATCGAAGTATTTTTTCCATAGAAATATTCCACTCTGCGGTAATCTAGATCTAGACAAAGTATTGTGCGTTCCAACACACACAATTACTTCTTATGATGTAGGCAACAAAATTAATAAAAATCAACAAAAAAAAATCCACTGTAAAATCGATACAAGCATTTACAGAAATCGATTCGCCACCTACGCATAATATATTTTTTTCTGAATAATTACATTTCATACTACGCTATATCGGAAATGGGATTATTTCAGTCCAAATTATATATTTATCCTCAGAATTTAAAGTTTGGAAAACTTTTACATTATAAGCAAGAAAATAAAACACGAAGCAGAAGCCATGCCGTGTACCGCAATGCGACTTCTTTGTTTGATCAAACTTTCCTCGTATTTGCTCTTAATGCTAACTCCAACACAAACCCAATCAAATATTCAACGGTCAGCAGTAACATGGAACAGTTCAGTCTTCGCTAATGTCTCGCCAAGCGAGCCAGATTTAATCTTTATTAGGCTACAAAGATCATTCTAATGGCCTTCAAAATGATGAAGAATGAGATGAAGGATTAATTTAATTAAAAATTACTTAAACGAAAACGATATACCGACTTTAAAAGAGGTCTATTTTTTCTCTAAATTGATATTGGTCTAATCAACTGTAAAATTTTTTTACTAAATAAGAAAACACAAAAAAGCCACAGAACAACTGAACTGAAACTTCTTTATTTACAATAGGTGTAGTAACTATCTAAGTTAGTCCACATAATATATCGATATATAATTTGTTAATTTTAGAATCGGTGCCAACTGTCGCATGAGAAACAACAACGAGCAATACCAACATATGTTTCTAAAGCTTTATATGTACACAAGAAAAGTGTACACGCGACAAGTTTTAATGCACGTGAATTCAAGGGGAATATCTGTAATGTCACAACACAATTATTAACATGCCCCATATTTCACAAATACTCAAAAATACCCTCTAATCTCTAACATTTAACGCTTTAAGTATATGTATACATATAATGTTCATTGGACTTAATTAAACAACGATTTAAGAACATGATTAAAAGAATTAAAACAATTGTATCCATAAATTATAAAATTACGTCCAATTTATACACTGACTAGCTGCGAAAGACGTACGGACGATATGAAACATCGATTTTTTAAGATGTTGCGGATGTGGTCGTTCAAACAAGAAACTTACATTTAAGTGTACATCACCATTTAGAACCATATCATTTTAACAAATTCTGATACTTTTATTACCTCTGTTATGTGAATGATGCTATTTTTATTATTTCCATTATTAAAAGTTGTAACCCTGTTTCAGGCTGCAACAAATTCCTTTTAGGCTATTTTCATATCGTTATATATTTTTTGTATTGTATTAAAGTAGATACGATAGAGTATTTAACTTGCAGTAAAATACAGTTAGGTATTAATAAAGAAACTGAATAAAAAATTCGAATGACGTTAAATATTCACGTATTAGGCAAATCTTTATTATGTAACAGTAGCTAGGTATATTGGATTACAGCTGTAATTTAACAGAGTAATCTTATCTTTTTTATCTATCTCTCAGAAAATGGGTAAATACGACATATTAAAGTAAAATTTAAAGTTTCATTTTACATTTATAATTAAAATATACGCTTAGTATGAACGAGGTCTCGAGAGGTGTTTCTATATGGATTTATGACGTTCATCGGCTCCTGGGACTTGTTACTTGCTCAATACTCGCCAGAACGTTATTGTTGATTTTTAGTTTTTACTTAACATAGACGTGAGAAAATTTATGATTCAACAAATGGTTAGAAAAGGTGTCCTTTTATGTATTTTCTTTTTATATAAAACTAGCGACTCACCCTCGCTTCTTTCGGGTTCCTAGTTTGATTCTCCATACAAACTTTCATTCCTACTTTCACCCCCTTAAGCAATGATTTTCGGAATTAAAAATATCCTATGTCCTTTCCACGGCCTCAAACTACCTTTTTACCAAATTTCATCTAAATCGGTCCAGTAGTTTTTGAGTTTATTCGTTACAAACACAAAAAAATGCAAATCTTTCCTCGTTATAATAATAGTGTAGAAGTGTAGATAGATAACCGAATTAATAAAATAATATAACGTAAACATAATATTATTTTATAGGACTCCACTTTAATTTTATGGGAGATCATCTCTATCAATCTGCTGCAAAAATTATTTAAAAATATTTTTGGTGTTAGTTTTAAAATATATCATTATATCAATATATCATTAGTTTTATAATATGTCAGTATTAAGACAGAACAGACAGTAGTAAGACTATTTTCGTAATTACTATGTTAAAATACCAAAGCAATAAACTCCAACCGTAATGAATCTCGCATTATCTGAGCTAACATGAATAAATGTGAATTGTAGAGGTACCGAGTGTCCTTTATTATTTTGTGTTACTAATTGCACTGGCCCCTATTAATCAGTGGGTTACAGTGGGTGGACTAATTTATAGGCATAAGCGATATAAGAATGTATAAGGTTTAGCTTTCGTTATATATGTAGCCACGAAAGATTAAAAAAAAACAAAAATAAAAAATCCAATTGCGTAAAAAGCGAAGTAAAAAATGAAGGTAATGAAGAAACATGGTATTCCACAGTCAGAGACATTTTATAGCTATGAAAGTGATAATCATTGCTTCATATCAATCACCATAACCTGTAAAATAAGCTCTTTTGTGTAAGGAGTTTTGTGTGAAAAATAATGTCCATAATATTTCACGACAGAAAAACTCAATAAAAAATTTGTCCGGTCAGCATTATTTGACTCGAACCTAGGGTTCCATAGTCTGCAGCCATACATACTAGCCACTACACCAATGAGGCACTTTGATAGTGGCATATCAGCACATGTACAACCGTGAGGGATGATAGACAACTTTAGCCACCGTAAACTAATTTCCACTCAATGTCAATCGCGATCCAAAATATAATGTGTAATTGTCAGTTTGTAGAGGCAAATGAATTTTAAAGTTATTTAAATTTAAAACCAAGCGTTTATAGCTACCAAAACTAGTCAATATTCGCAAAGGTGTCACGGTTTTATTTTTTTTTTTGTTTAAATTTTGTTTTTTTAATAATTTTGACTTATTTTTCTTTTTAAATTACTTATTCAATTAAGAAAAAAATAATTTCATTAACAATTTCTTCCAAACAAATTTATATTTAAATTTTATATCACATCATTTAAAAAAATATATATATCCTTTTAAATAAATTCCACATGTATGTCCTTTAAAAATAAATGCCGAATTGACCAAAATCGTTATGAAAATACAGTGAAGCCGGTTCAAATGTAGGGTTTTGCAAAATTCGAATTTTTACATTTATTTCATATTCAACGTTGGTAGTATTCTGTAAAGAAGAAAAAAAATATTGCAAATAAATCTTTGTCTTGATTAGTTATGTTTACTCAAAAATTCATTCTCAACGTTTAATTCTTGTGTCTAGTGTATCTTCTTTTTTCACCCTACCTTTATATATCTTCTATATATACATATAATAAAATGTAACTAAGCCGAATCTGTAAATTAACTATTTTTAGTAAAATCTTATTGAAGAAGACATTATTGTCGATACAGAGGCGCAATCTATATATTTTTTTGAATTTTTGTCTGTCTGTCACGTCACGAAAGAGCCACTGGGCAGATTTTGATGAAATTTGGTATAATGATAGCTGGTTATCCGAGTCAACATTAAGGATACTTTGTATTGTGATAAAATATCTCATCTTTGAGCTAAACGTTAAAACTTCAGGATAAACCCGAGCGGAGCGAGGGTGAGTTGCTAGTATTTATTAAAAAGAACAAAAACTCAATATAGGCATGTCGGTAATATTCCATTTCTCATGTAGAAATATACCTCGATGTAATTTTTATATATTATTATATACAAATTGTAGATTCATATAAAAGGCTATATAACTGAAAAGTTTCTATATTATTTATGTAATATGACAAGATACACATGAATATGCCTCGTGTATTTACTATCTCGGTGTCAGTCCTGATCAATACGACCTCCAAGGCTTATTTCGCCGTGTGTCAAATATTTACTCTCCCAAGAATCAGTCTTGCTGTGGTTGGGGCCATGATACGAGAGATTTTACAGTTACTCAAAACAAAATTATGTAAGCGCTTTTATTAGTATCTACTATACGAATACAATATAATATTTCCATGTAATCTATACACATAAATAAAACTGATGTACCCGTATTTAATGTCAAAATAACAACTTTTTACTAAATGCATATGAAATTAAATACGGTAGGTACTTATAAGAAAAACACAAATTTAACAACACATAATATATAACAAACTACATGCATATTATAAACATAAACACCCATGACTGGATTACAAACATTCGTGCCCATCACACAAATGAATGCCATCTAGACTCGAACCCGTGACCGCTGGCTCAGCAAATAGGGTCACTACAAACTGAGCCAAACGTGTCATGAAAATATATATTATATACATACAT